TCCCAGGTTGTCAGTCCTGGAAAACCTCACTCCTTGCCTTCCCTGCAGCCTCCATTTCCGGGTCTGCCCGCTCACCATGTGGGGATGATAGGCGAATGCACTATCATCCTGCCCGCACCCCAAGGACACCGCTGCCTGCACTGGATTTAGCGCAACAGGATCCAAGGCTTTTTGAAGCTATTTTCTAAGACAAAGCTGTATTTAAGTAAAACGTTGCCAGGTGATCCATCTGACATTGAGTGTCAGTCTCCTTGCACAAAGGATATGATGCAAGTATTTCAGACACATGGGAGCCTACATAAGTCCTTAATTACCATGTAGTAGCATATGACAAAAATAACCCCCAATTTAGTATGTGTGTAATGCAATTTTTGTTAGTCAGAGGTTGAGTAGCAGCCTGGGACGAGTCTACCAGGGGGTGAGGTAGTGAGGTTACCTCAGGACAGGCTGGGAGGCTCTAACAGGTCAGGGCTTCTGGAGCCCTCTCACCTTTCCAGAAACCTGAGAGCTTTCTTGAAGAGGGGTGCAGAAGGGGAGGAGGCCCAGATCTGCATGTTTGAGGGACCTTGGCCAATCCCCTGGCAGGAGGCTAGACATGGTGACCAGGGCAGCCCTTAAATGTGGCAGAGCCTAGAGGGAGGTGTGCAGTGTTGGGTGGAAGATGGATTGAGGAAGTCTGAAGGGTGGGAAGGGGCCTCAAGGAGGGGAGCCCACCTACAGGCCGGTAACTGGAAACGAGGATCTCCACTGCCTCAACATCTCCCATGGAGGACAGCCTGTGTAGCAGAGAAGGAGCCAGCCCAGTGTAAGGCCTGAAGGCAGCCACCAACCCACCAAGCTAACAGAAGAACACAGTGTGAGTACTCTTACACCCCCTGGGCCAGATAAGGGGAGAGGGCAGTCAGGTGCAAGACCCAACTAACTTCTCATCAGGGATGGTTCTAAACTATACAAAAAACGGCCACTGCCCCAGTCTATAACTGGCATTCACAGCAAAGAACACATGGAAGGGTGACGCATGTCAAACAACAAAAGACAAAAGTTCCCAGCTCAACTTGCCAGCCAGCTTGCAAACAAACCAAATGAACCTGTCTAACAGTATGCGTTAAAAATGGGTTTAGTTAGCACACATTTCAAATACATATGTAAGCTACAGAGCCACATCACGGCACCCAGATATTCTGTAGTCCTAACTCTACAAATTTTGAGAGCCCCCATAGTAGAGGCATATGTATTTAATGGATAGACCAAGGGCATGTGAACCTGAGGGAGCCACCCCTCCTTAACCACTTTAATACCGGGCAATTTTACACCTTCCTGCCCAGGCCAGTTTTCAGGTTTCAGCGCTCTCACACTTTGAATGACAATTGCGCGGTCATACAACATTGTACCCAAACTAAAATTTTATCATTTTCTTCACACAACTAGAGCTTTCTTTTGGTGGTATTTAATCACCGCTGGGGTTTTTATTTTTTGCTACATTAACAAAAAAAGACCAAAATTGTTGAAAAAAACCCCACTTTTTTCTTTGTCTCTGTTATAAAAGTTTACAAATAAATAATTGTTCTTCATAAATTTAGGCCAAGATGTATTCTACTACATGTCTTTGTTGAAAATAACCCAAATTAGGATGTATTATTTAGTTTGTAGGAAAGTTATAGAGTTCACAAACTATGGTATAGATCTGAAAATTGATCAATCCTGAAGTACTGACAGCCAATCTAATTTCTTGAGGTCCAAGAATGTCAGAACAGTACAGATATCCCCAACTGACCCCTTTTTGCAGAGTAGACAGTCCGACGTACTTCAAAAGAGGAATGGCGAGTTTTTTGAAGTTGTATTTTTTTTGTCATAATTTTTCGGAAAATTAAAAAATTAAAAAAATATTTTCACTATTTTGTTTTTTACATACTGTCACCAGTGCAGTACAGCATCTTCATATAACTGGCATGGCGGTGATCAGGGACACTGACTGGTGACAGTATGAAAAAAAAAAAATATATATATTTTTTTTTTATTTTTTTATTTTTTATTACTTTTTTTTAATTTTTTTTAAAGATTTTTTTTTTCATATTTTACTATGACCAAAGTAATACAATGTTACCATAGTAACATTGTACTACTTTGGGGAAGTGATCAGTATTTTATTTTTTTTTTTTTACACAATTTGCTTACAGCAAAGAATTACTTTGCTATAAGCAAGCATTTACCTGAATGAAATCGATTCATTCAGGGGTTTTTTTTTTTTGTGCTTAGCTGTGATTTGGCCACAGCTAATCACATGACATGTGCATGTGACCTGCTGTGACCATTCACAGCTAGGCACTAGTATACAATGGATGGCATGAATGAAGCTATCCATTGTATACAACTGTCATGTGACCTGCTGTGATTGGTCACAGCAGGTCACATGGTACCGGCAACGGGGGCCGGTACTCAGATTTGTCATCGGCCGTGTCCGAGGTACACGGCCGGTGACAGATTGCTCCGCTGCGCGGCTCTGCAACCGCGCGAACTGCGCATGTGCGGTAGCACGCCAAATGGCGTGCACCTGGAAAGCTAAAGCGTTTTTGAGGCCGCCAAACGGCTATAGGCCAGGGTAGCTAATGGTTAAAGGTACAGGAGCGCACTGGACACCCAGCATGTAGCACAATGGCAGCTAGGGCAAGTTGAGCTAGGAACTTTTCTCTTTTGTTCTTTGACTGTTCTAAACTAACAGCTCTTGTGCTCCCTTGCCCCAGGGATACCCTCAGGCAGCTGAGTGAAGAGAAAGAATCATCCGGGGTCTGAGGAGGTACACCTAAGAGCTGTTGGTGCTCTTCAAGAAAAGACTGTTGCTAATCCAAATCGCTCTACATACTGTAGTTGCTAAGGAGTTGTCCTCAAATTCTACAGTTCCTCGGGCATCCCATATGCCCCTAGACCCCATCCAAGTTTAACCGTTTAATAAAATCACAAAATCAATCTCAAGGACTGTTTGCTGGCTCCAGTGTGCAAAGTGTGAAAATGTGTTGCTGACTGTGCAGAGCATAGGGGGAGCAAATTCAAATCCAGCGGCCCCTAATTGGGTAGTGCTACATGTGTATCTAAAAATTAGTATTTGGTATGTAAAATTGTTTAATAGCATCCTAGGGAGCCTGTTTATTAAGCTTAACCAACATATTTCTTAACCTATATCTAGACAGGTATTTCTGAAAAATGAAGGTAGCGATCGTTTGCCATGTATTTTGTTGTTGATTTTTCACTGTGGCTTTAATTGAATAAAGGACAACATGAGAAAGTATTTCCTGGGCAGAATCCCATCTACCATTGACTCAGCCGGCGTGCAATCATAAAAGGATTTATGAGGGTGTAGCGCTCCTAACCGGTGGAACATAATTGATATTTGTGCCCCTAGCTCTCCCAACCTCTTCCATCCATCTAGAAACTATGGCCGCCGTGTTCCGGCCTCGTTGCCTGGCTAGGATTATTGATCAGAAAAAAAGGCCTATTTAGTTTTCATCTGAATTCTGGTACAATATCCAATAGTAATGTTTCCTAAGGCAACTTGTTCTGTAGATTTATTGTCCTTTATGCCAACAGCCCCATCCTACGTAAACACTTAGACCTATTCTATTGTCAGCGTTCCAAGCCACCTAAATTAACTTATCAAAGGCGGGAACAGGATCCCCCACCACGAACAATCAGAGCATTTACAATACCTGTATACTCTTATTTTCCCCTACTGTCATCTCCTCTGGTTGCGAAAACACTTTACTGCATGCTGATTTTCAATAATATTTTATGTACAATGTATTTCGCAGCTGGTTTTAACACTTTCAGGAATATTGAGTCGAGGGGAAGCTTGTGAATTTATATGGTATTCATTTTGTGCTGATACTGTAACATTTTTTCATGAAAATAATTGTGACACTTTCCATGTAGCTTTATGTTTGTTAATTATAGTTCTCATTGTGTCAAAGGAGCTCTCCATATGGAGTGAAAACCAGGAGGTATGTGTAATGTGTTAAAGAAGAACTCTAGTATCTTTAAAAAAGTGTTTTCTAGCCCTTGCCTGCTCTATTATTTTTAATTTTTTTTGCAGTATTGATTATTGATACTGATTACTTTAAGCCCTCATGCACACGGGGCGTTTTGATAACGCTAGTAACGTTAGCTGTGTAAAGTCACATGGAAAACTTGAGTTTTTCAGCTTTTTTTAGCGTTTTTGCATTAGCATTTAGCGGTGTTTTGCCACTTTTTTTTGCATTTGTGGGTTTTTTTTTTTTGGGTTAAATAAAGTCCAACAATGCCAGTTTGTGGTGTTTTACAAAGTTTTTTAGTGTTAGAGCATTTTTACAGCTAACAAACTCCTCTAGAAACCCACTAGTCCTGGGTTTTTTTTTTTCAGCCAAAATCATCCCAGCCAAAGAACGATGATTACAGTCTGTGTGCATGGATACATAGGGTAACATGCTGGGGGGTTTACTGGCTGTAGAAAAAACGTCAAAAGCCAAAAACAGCCGCTGTAAAAACGTCAAGTGTGTATGAGGGCTTAAACTGTTAAGAAACAATGGCCATTTGATCATTACCAGTTTTCTTGCTTCTGGTCAATGTTGTCAGCTTGAAGGAGTGTTAAGGTGTCATTATGGTACATGTGGTCACCATTCTGGGACTTCAGGTCCTAATTGTCAAAGCAGCTTTTCAAATAGAGTGGGCTTTAGTAGGCAGCTTACATTGTTGCTATCAATGCCTATTCAGGATGCATTTTCTTAGGTGATGACACCTCCTGCAGTCTAAGAGAACCAGGCGGTATGTTTATGACAGCCAGGCCATTGACACCGGTTTTGTGTGATAATGGGCATCACACCAGAAGTGCACCAGCTAGCACAGAGAGATACTGAAATTCAGGGCACGCTGTTAGGAGGGAAGAAGGAGCAGAAATAAGGGCACTGCAATATTGGATTAGGCTTGTTAGGTTTTAGTTTTTCTAATGTCTGTGTCAGGGGTGGACTGACAACTCATGGGGCCTCCGGTCAATAGGGGATCATGGGGCCCCTGTATCCTTGCTCAAACTCAAAAAAGCCTATGAAAAAGGTAGGTACCAGGGGCATCTCATGGGGCCCCCTACTGACCCTGGGCCCTCAGGCAGTGCCCGAGTTTCCAAATGGTCAGTCCGCCCCTGGTCTGTGTTGTCCTTTACTAAATACACAGCATATGATACAGCCAGATTGGTGTTCTCAGTTTCCTTTTCTCCAGTTACGGTCACAGCTTTGACACCAAGCTGTCCCAGTCTGTGATTGGACAATGTAGGAGGTGCAGCAGCACAATGATGAGGTCATCCTCCTGCTAACCCCTCCTGTAAGCATGTTCCTGTAACCATTGGCTCCCTCCATTTGATAGTCTGCTGTGCAGGGTGTTACAAGAGGCTGATATCAAGATAGATTTAGGAATTTAAAACCTAACTCCAGTCAAAGCACTCTTTTAGCTTTGGATACATAGATAGCTATTTCAGTTCTTCTTGTTTTGTGTGCCCCTGTTGAAGAGATTTCTCCTCACCTCCTGCTGCAAGGACATCAGAACTAAGCTCAGTGGGACAGGGAGACACAGATAGTGAGGCTAGGCACATGCTATTCTGGGTGGTTCCCGCACCCGCAACCACACACAGCCAAAGCACACTGCTCTTTAGAGACGAGAAGGACCGCCATTCATTCTTAATGACACCCCACCCATCCAAAAATGTAGCAGGTTTGCAGGAACCACATGGAAATTGCATGATGCAAAAGCAACAATGCAATTTCTTGCCCGTTGCATTTTGAAAATGCTGCAGGAACATTTTTCCTGCATGAAATGAGAGCACAGCAGCCCAGTGAATGAATCAAATGAATGGGCTGCTGTACCCGAGCAAATGCAAACCTGCAATAGTGTGAACCTAACCTAATAATGACAGAGGCTTTAAAGGCTACATTCACCATTGGAGAAAAATAATAAATGCACATATTTTTGAAGAAAAAGTGAATTTATTGTTTTCCCCCCAAGAACCTAAATTTGTGGTAATGTTAGGCTCCTGCAGACACATACTCCAGCTTTCCCTATGGGCTTTCTTTTCTTTAGACCTTTTTCACATGGGCATTACCTATGTCCGTTTTTCATCTGTCCATTTACAGATTAAAAACGGACACCCATGTATTTCTATGGACTAGCTGATATAAACGGATGATTATCCGTTTACATCTGTTAACATCCATTTTTTTAACTGGAAGAAAACCCTATTTTCTTCCTTAAAAAAAAACGGAACGAATGAAAAACGGATGCACATGGATGCAAACAGATGAAAAACGGATGAAAACAGATGAAAAACATATGTAGACAGATGTAAAAAGAATGTGAATGGATAAAAGAGGGATGAAAAAAAGGATGTAAACTGATGAAAAAACTGATGTAAACTGATGAAAAAACTGATGTAGACTGATCCATTTTTTCTTTCAAACAATGTGACTGAACTGATGAAAAAAATGGCACTCCCGTGTGAAAGGACCCTTAGAAAGCTGGTGGAAGGTGGTGCAAATGTCGAAGTATGAGGATGCTTATCAGCGCCCTCGCAGTTCATAGAGGACAACAAGTGGTATGCTGCAGTGTAAGATAGGACTTGTAGTTTATTCATTCACAGACTCATGTGTGGGTGGAGCCAGGCACAGCTGCACCAATTTTGAGATGTGACAGCGGTTTTGGGGTACAGAAACCCTTGCCCCCTGTCACACGGGGATTGGGGGGATGTGCGGGAAGGTTCTGGAGCATGTTACACGTTACATCCTAAACACGGGTGTAACGCGTAACATGCTCCAATAGTAAACTTTTAACACTTTGCCATTTTTTGGGAAAAAAGGTGTGCTGTGCCCTGACATGACAAGGGTAGAATATATGCCTTCCAACCTAACCAAGCCTGCTAGGCCAATCCTCCACCATCCTAGCTATACAAAATACACAAACCAAGTTTTTGGGAGTCACAATGGCTATAGCAGCCTTTTATTAACCAATAAATTATTTCAACATAAATACTATTCCAAATTATAAACAGAGAAAAAAGGGGTGGTCATTTGAGGGCCATAAACCCAACTTCACTTTTGCGGAAAACATTCCTTCAACTAAGGCCCCCAGCCTCAACCCAGCGACTCAAGAACAACCCTACTTATCCCCAGCCGCAACACACCGGCTCGGGGATAACCCTACTTCTCCACAGTGACCACCATTGTACCTATTCCGAGTTAACCCCTTGTTAACTGGATTGTACCCAGGTCCCAATACCACTGATGGGTCCCGAATCTGTCTCCATACAGAATTCTTTCCTCCTCCAAAGACCAACCACCACCAAGGTGACAATCCAAACCAGCACGAAGGAAAAGGAGGGTGGCAAGCTTCTTCTTCCAAACTTCCCCCACTGGACTTCCTGAGGACAGACACTCCTTTTCCTCCCTGGGAGACCCTCCCCCCAACATCCCCCACCAATAAGGTAAGCCTTAATCCCCAAAACTTCCTACCCATAATTTAGCCCTCTGTTGTCCCTCTATTCGCACTAGTCGTGTCGACCCTGCGCTTATTTTTTTTTTTTTTTTTTGCTCCGGACCTACCTGGAAGTGAGGTGAAATATCCCCACCGGAAACACCAAGCACTGTTCAAAGCTTTAAAATGAAATTGGCTGTAGTTATGTCTATTTTAAAATAATTCTATTATTTTTATTTTTGGATGAATCTGTGTTTAATTATCTCTGCTTGGAGCTCATCTTTGAAAATCTCACTAGTAACAGAACATCTTGACAGTATTACACTTTACGAAACCATATAGTGTTGCTTTTTTTTTTTTTTTTTTTTTTTTTAATATAGTTTTATGAAAAATGCTTTTTCTGTTTTTCCAGATATGATTAATTAGCCTTCCAATGCAATTTCCTGATACAGGGACGTTCTCGTTCAAAGTAATCTAAAATTTATGTGAAATGTATATTTTATTTGGTGTGTATCTCCCTGGATACCTTATAACTTAAACATTGAATTCAATAGGTTTGAACAAGCTCTGATTCTACATATAAGCACTTTTTTTCTGTTGAGGTGTTCATAATCATCATTCAAACTTTTAGGGCCTGTTCACTCTTATGTGTTGCGGTAATGAGAGGAATTAAGAAATATTGCAGCGCACATACTATACTGTGGTGTGTTGCAGTAGTAAAACACGAAGCATTACTGCAATGCACATACTACTGAATATGGCGATGCATTGTGGAATCATTCCTTTTGAATGGCAGCCAGATGCACTGATTCAGTAGTGGTCAATGCACAACAACACACATACTATGCATCGTGGTGTACTGCTTTATATAAAATGGGTTATGTATGTGTTTACCTGCATTTTGAATCAGCTGCCTTAACCTAGTGTATGCCAATTCATGTGCAATAACACAGTGCAAAAGTGTGAAATCAGTCTTCAAGTAGGTGTAAAGTGAAGACTATGGGTGACATGCAGGCGTGGTCTATTGTTGCCACTATCAGGAAACCAGTGCAGGGATACGATGTAGAGCTGACAGTGGAGCATAAAAACATGAAACAAAGAGGGCGAAAACGTCTGCCGCATTACCTTAAAACAATCGATTGAGAAATGAGAGACAAAAGTTATACTCACAAACCAAGTGAGCTATTGGCATGTAATTGCATAAGCACACAATGTCGACCACTCCCCACCTCCAACTGGTGACAAGATGGTGTTAGCTCTGACGCATTTCGGGGACCCTGTCCCCTTCCTCAGAGCAAAAGCTGAAGTCCCCCAGAACTCAAACTCGTCAAATAACGTGTGGATCCCACAGCCCACCTACCATCGGGGGGCAGGGTGAGAGGGGAAGGAGTACTTTTAAAGGGGACATCATATTCATACTCTATGCATATAGATAGTAAGAACATGCAAACATGTTATCAGTACATGATTAACCTCCCTGGCGGTATGATTATTTCAGATTTTTGGTGCTGAAAGCGGTACCATTTTTTGCATGGAAATATGTCGTTTTTTTTATTGTAGGCCTGTAATTTAGGAATAACTCACTGAAATCTGTCCGAACAAGAGTCTAGTAAACATTTTCCGGATATGATAAAACTTGAAACGCAAAATCATAAATTATAATTTAATAAATAATCATAAAAAAATAATAATATAATAATAATAAATTTAATTCAATAATATAATCAAACCGAAAACACTGAAATTTGAAATATAGTGCCAAGTTCGCACATCGCTGAGCAAAGTCGCAGAATCGTTTTCAGTGTCTGATGACAAATTTCCCCACAAATCATTATCACTCAATTCTGCAAGTGGTTCTGATTTACTATCGCTGTTCTCTAGCTGGTCTAAAACCGCTTTTGAAATAAAGGGACGCTTTTTGGACGCCATGGACGTTTCTAGGTTTCCAGGCAGAAAGAACAGTCAAAATGCAGGCAGGGCACAGGACAAAGCAGTAGGGACAAAATGTATGTGAAATGTTTTGAAACAGCAATGTTTTACTATGTAATAATCATTTTTTAAAAAATGCCATTTTTAAAAAACATTTCAAATTTGCCGCCGGTTCCAGCGCCCGTACGTCCTCCGACGTCACAGGGACTGGAACACGGAAGCCGGATGCCGGCATCGGCCAGAGGAGATGGCCGGGGACACTGTAGGGGATGCATTACGGGAGCAAAGGACAAGGTAAGCGCTGCAGGGACTCCCTATGCAACGCTGCATGGTAAGCCCGAGTGTAGCTCGGGGTTACCGCTTTTGGTACTGAAACTTTACCCCGAGCTACACTCGGGAATACCGCCAGGGAGGTTAACCAACTTAACTCCTGCAAGTAAAATGGACATGGGCAACACAGTGGCTAAATGGTTAGCACTTCCACCTGGCAGTACTAGGGTCATTGGTTCAAATCCCAACCATTGCACCACCTGCCTGGAGTTTGCATGTTCTCCCTGTGCCTGCATGGGTTTCCTCCAGGAACTCCAGTTTCCTTCCACACTCCAAAGACATGCTGGTGGGCTAATTGGAACCTGTCTAAATTGGCCCTAGTATGTGTATGTATGAATGTGAGTTACTGACTTTAGATTGTACACCCCTTGAGGGTTAGGGACTGATGTGAATATACAATATATATTTGTAAAGTGCTGCATAAAT